TCCCCTCTGGAACTGCAAGCCCCTATTAATAAATGTTTTTTCCCCTACATTGTGGCTCACTGAGGTACTCTGTCACTTCTTTATTCTGGCTCTGGGGGCATGGATGACAGACTCTAGATTTGAGTTCTATAAACAGAGTAGAAAAAGAAAAGCGAGGTTCCTGAGGTGTGGGACAGGAAGAGTGAGTTTTATATAATCAGAACTATAAAGACACTTCAAGCTCTTTGAAAATATGGCCTCACAGTATTGCTGGGTCCTAGCACATTCCTGATCATGGATGCTCGTCAACTTTCTTATTGAACTGAAAGCATTCGAAGAATCGGTACTGGGGATTACAACAGTTTTTCTCAAGTGTTAGAGAACACACGTGATTTTGATGGTGCCAGAGAGTGTCCAACACTGGACGGAATGCCTGGCTTCCATGAAGTCTGCGTGTGGGTAAAGAATGAGAAGACGAAAGGGGACAGACATCACGCTGGTCATGTCAAGAGAGACATGGAGACAGCCTGGAGTTTCTGCTTCGATGGGGAATTCACGCTGGTCATGTCAAGAGCGACATGGGGACAGCCTAGAATTCCTGTTTCAATGGCAGCACTGCTCGTTAGCCCTTGGTACATTAGCAGTGTCTGTAACAGAGCTACCACAGGTATACCCACATAGACATGCTTTCAGACAGGGGAGGGGGCCTCTGAATGGCCCCTAACAGCCGTGCCCCAGGGCTGCACTGAACCAGAACCCCTGGGCTCTGCACTATTATCATCCTCCCCACACTTGACATGGTCCTGACACGCTGTGAGATTTAGTCAGAGGGATGAAGGCAGACGTCGTGTGAGCATCCTCACTCTCTGAACCTCTGCTCTTCAGATCAGACACTCTGTAAGGACACCCAGACCCACCTCAGCGAAAGGCCTCATGAGCAAGGAGAGCCTTGGGCTCCCATTGCCCTGTCAAGGTGCCAGACATAAGAAAAGCCATTTCAGATGTCATGGGGGAGGGCGTGTGTGTTTGCGGCGGTGTAAGAACCGTGAGCAAGCAGAGCCGCACCTGGCACAGCTGAGCACCATCCGCCCTGATTAACAATGAAATGCTTACTTTAGGGAGCTGGGCTTAGAGATCTCTGTGACACAGCAATAGGCTAATACGGCACTGGGAACAGTGAGGCACCAGACTCTAGAAGGGAGATTCCAGGATAAAAAGTCCAACAAGAACGCAGCATGAGACAGAACCATCCTAAGGACTCTGCTTGGGTTATTATCTTAGTGACTTTTCTATTGCTATGAAGAAACACCATGATGAAGGCAATTCACAGAAGGAAGAATTCATACAGGGCTTATAGTTTCAGAGGATGAGTCCATGACGATCATGGTGGGGAGCATGGCCGCAGGCAGACAGGTGCGGTGCTGGAGCAGCAACTAAGAGCTCACCTCGTAAGACAAAACCACGAGGCAGAGAGAGCCATCTGAGAATGGTGAGACTTTTAAAACCTCAACGCTTACCCCGGTGACATCCCCCAACAAGACCACACCTCCTAATCCTTCCCAAACAGTTCCACCAACTGAGACCCAAGCATTTAAATATTCGAGCCTTTGGGTTATTCAAACCGCTGCGGTTATTAGGCTGATATCCATGACAACATAGTAGCTGCACAAATGAAGAGGTGACAGCCTCACGAGGAGAGCCAGTGAGGCCAGACAAGTGTGGACGGAAGTGAGGGCAGGGCAGAGAGGCAGCACCTGCAGCCAAGCAATGCATTCCACCTCCACTCCCCCACCCAACCCTGCCAAAGACAGCAGCTCCCCGAGTCCCGTGAACCCGCAGTTGAGATGATGGTCTAGTTTCTAGGCTTTCTAATACAGAAGCGCACTTAGTACCCCCAGGCCAGCCCCAGAGCCTGTCTAATGTAGGAATATTCTTTTCTGTGGCCCATTTCACTCCTTTCCCTCCACCTGTGAGCTTTCAAAGACCAAAGTCCCTAGATCCCAGCCCAGGGTCATGCAGTCTTGAGTTTTTCCATAACCATCAAGGAAGCAGGAGCCAGTTTGGTAAATTACCACGCTCAAGGCCACAGTGTCCTGGAGTCAGAGCCGAGCATTTTCACCTTCCTCGGTGGCTGGGTACGGAACCACAGCCAGGTGCCTCCAGGAGGCATGCCATGCTATCCTTCTTGATGGCATCTTGAGATACCATCCATTAAGGATTAGGTCCCCTTGGAATTCGCAAAACCTGTGCCTTGGGTTCTATCAAAAGGATAAAAAATAACAAGGATATGGAGAAAGTGAAGCTCTTATACCAAGGAAGGGAACACAAATTAGCTCAGTCACACGGACAACTGAAAGGGAGTTCTCCAAACACCAGACCCTCTGCCCCGTAGAGTGCAGCGATCCCACCCCGAGACCTACGCCCGCAGGGAGAGCCAGTGTGCCAGAGATGCCATCACTAGCAAGTTTATAGCTGCACTGTTTACAACAGCAAGATGTGGATTCGCCTCAGGTGTCACTGGCAGATGAATGGTTAAAGATATATAGATACCATAGTCTACATATATGAAACACTCAGGTAACAAAATCCTGGCATCTGTAGGCCTTCTTCAGAGCACATGGAAAAAGTCACACACGCAGCAAGTCACGTGACACGCCAGCGCCATACAGATGGAGAGAAGCGACTGGCAAAACCATCACCTCACATAGTTAACATTCCTTTCTGTTAGGAACGCAGCATTTCTGTCCCAGACAACTGAGACTATGCAGTTAATCCATGCCCGCCGCAGGTACCCGAGACGCCAGCCCTTCTACCCAGCATCCAGCTCTACCCCAGTAGCCATCGCCTGGGTCCTTCCATGCTCTTCCAGGTCCCATGACTACTGTCCACCTTTATGTTGTGAACATGTACTCCATAGATATGTGAAATTATGTGTCCATTTTAATATACTTTTTAAGAATTATACTACAAAAACAAAAGGGCATGCTTTGACCCAGGCAATTGTTCACCTTGGGCTTTGGCCGGGGTTGGGAGGATGGAAGAGAACCCCAAGACTTGAGAGGCATCTCCCGCTGAGGCGGCTTTCCTGACTTGACTCCATTTCTAGAGTGGGCAGAGGCAACTGCTGGAGCTTATAAAATTTTCTTAAAATGCCATAAAATAGGCGCAGGAGGAGAATGGCAAATTCTCCTGGCTCCACTACAGACACTTCCACCCTAGCTGAGGAGCCCGAAACCACAAGGGCGGGAATAGGGGCAGGGGGCGGGCTCTCTTCGCTCCCCGGCTGTGAGAACAAATCACTGTTTTCTTTCACTGCTCCCCTCCGGTCACAGTTGTAGCCACTGTGAAGACAGAGCCAAGAGCACTAAACACGGAAGGCTCAAGAGCCTGAGTAAGCACGCTTCCACCCACATCCCGCTTGCTCGCTCTTCGCTTCTTTTCTGTGCCCCCAAACCCCAACTACTCCCAGGTCTACTTCCCTTAACCTGCTTATCCTCAGTTTAAATCATCCTTTCCGAGTCCTCTCTACCCTGCCCCACTTCTCAAATCATCCCGTCAGAGATGCTTCGAGCCGAACTATTTCAGGTGAGAGGAAAACTCACCCTTGCAAATAAATTATCCTAAGACCAGAAATATATACACAGGTAGAATGTTGCTCAATTCACACCCTGTGTCCTACTTTCCCAAGCCTGTCCTGGAGCATCCTACTGTCTGGGTCTAAGGCGATGGTCATTTGCACATGAAGAAAAAAGCAACCAAGAAAACAGAACATCAACAAAAGACAGTGATAAATGGGGGCTGCATGGGTGGGTCTAATGTTGTTCGGAATGCATATTAGTCTGAATATTAAAAAAACAAAACAAAAGCAAACAAACCTCAAAAGACAGCTAGCACACCCAAAGGGATCAGACTAGGCATGCCTTAGAAAGCTCTGCATACCCAAGCTAACGATGCAGGGTCCGTGAGACTAATTCGATCTTTCATTACTTAGCTTAAATCACTGAGCTAAGGGCCTCAGGTGCCAGCCACCGATGGTCACCAAAGACTGACCTGGGACAGTGGATCAGAGTTCATTGTTTTACACAAATGAAGATGAAAGAGAAGGACTCTCCTATGCAAAGTGGGGCAAGCTTTATTAAGAGTTATGGAAAAAAATAAAAGTGAGAAAAGCTGAGTGGGAGGGGATAGGAAATGGCTGCTGGATTTCCTTCATCTGGTGGTTTTTGTAGGACCATGGCAGAAGCTGCCTGAAGGCTGAGGTCATTTCTACTGAGATTGTTCTTTTCCTCTGAGCTATTACGGGCTGAGTCAATGGGGGAGGGTCCTACTGTATAGCAGGCCTGTCCCCCAAGCACAAGGGCATGGTCATGCATTACTCATGTGCTATCCACTCAGTTATGACTGCCTGTGACTCCTCTGCCCACCTCTGACTCTGGTATATTGACTCTGACTATCTCTTGGCTGCCAATCACTCGGCTACTGTTCCTCTCTTCCCACCTTGCAGGTAGCTTGCTGCCAATCAATCACATTAAGCTCCCTAGCACTGTTAGTCTTGACCTTGACTCCCTGATGGCAATTAGACTTTGGCTGGTGTTGCCTTCTCTGATGTTGCAGGGATCTCAAGTGCTGTTAGCTATGTGGAGCTCTTGGGTCTCACAATCACCAACTGCAGCTGCAGGGTTCTTGGTTATCACCTTGTCTCGGATGGTTTGGAGTTCCTGAAATAGGGCTGGCTTGTTATCAACCACCCTAATTACACCTCAGACTATTGAAGGAGCTGCACCAGAAGCAATGTATTAAAGCAAGACTATGAAACAAGGAATAGGACCTAGAGTGTGTTTCCCAAACGGGAAAGTTCACATGGAAGCGAGCCAGCAAGGCTGCCATCACTGGCCTGGCTTCTCAAAGCCTTTTATGGTCTGCTTGTGTAGCTCCCTCGCAGCTGCAAGTGCCTTTGTTTCTATCCCCAGTGTTTACAAAGTTTTCACTGCAGGCCCTGTTCTCTGTCTCCCACTGTACTCTCGCCCCGCCTCGCTGCACAGCACTAACCCTAAGCACCCCATGTGGAGACAGCTTAGATGCCCACCACTAAACTAATGGACAAAGAAAACATGGAGGATGCGCACATGGAGTGTTCTTCAGCCATAATAGAGAACGCAGGATATCTGCAGAAAAATGAGTTGAACTGGAGATAGTTACAGCATAAGGCAGATGAAGGTGAGCATTGTATTTTCTCTCATTCGCTGAAGCTAGAGATAAACAAAAATATGAAAGCAGAATGGGATTGTAATGGAAGAGAGAGGATAGCCCAGGGCTGTGATGGAAGAGAGATAGAGAGAGAGAGAGAGAGAGAGAGAGAGAGAGAGAGAGAGAGAGAGAGAGAGAGAGAGAGAGAGAGAGAGAGAGTTTAGCCCAGGGCTGTGATGGAAGAGAGAAAGGATAGCCCAGGGCTGGGGCCGGTGTGGGGGGGGGTGTGGGTGTTGGGGGGAGGGTAAGAAAAGATAATGCAGGAGATATGAAAGTGCATCATATTCATGTATGAAACTGTCACAGTGAAGCCAATCATTCTGAGGAATGAACACATGCTAATACAAACGATGAAAAAGATGGTTACCAGACCCTACCTGTTGGAGCGCCAGGGCCAAGACCCATCTGCACTCTTTAGACTCATGGGAAGAACTTGTAAACCAGGAAGCAACCTACAATTTGCCTGTTCCAATAGGATCCGTCCGGACCCCTGCCCACGGCACTCCAGATCTGCCATACTGCTGGTGGAGCCTCTTTCTACAACTGTGTTCCTTAACTCCACAGGAACAGTGTCTGCTCCTCCCTTCTGCCCATTCAGTGCGACTCCGTCTTTCTCTTAGAAACCACTGCCTTCCAGCTTCCCGTCCCTGCAACCTAACTCTGTGGGCTGCCACTCAGTCCCCCAGCTTTTCCTTCGCAGTACAGCAACCTTCAGCTATCGTCATGAGGCCTTTCTGTCCTACACTGGCATAACTGGGCATAGCAGAAACATATTGGCAATAATGGGTGTCCAGGCTGGCGTGAAGTGGGAGATCTTCAGACCACTAGGGACCTTGCCCTTGAGAGCATCAAGATTTCAATGCCCACCGGACACTCTCTTTTCTCCCTGGCCTAAGGCAAGCAGCAGTGTTCCTTACACACTCCAGCCACAACACGCTACCTTCCCACAGTACCAATCAACCCATCCTGGATCGGAACCTCTAAACTGTCAGCCCACACCAACCTTTTTCCCTCATGTGTTGACCGTCTCTGACTGTTACAGGAGCAGGAAGCTGACTACTACAGGGAGCCTGGGCTGACTCAGTTTCCTCTTGGGACACTCAAGTCTAGGTCTATTCTGACCTTGTGTGGGCTGTCCTCATTCGGCCAAAAAGACCTGACTTAGAAGGACAGACTTTGATAGCAATGGCTCTTGGGCTCGGACCACCTCACACTCCCTCTTGTTTCCTTTCCAGGCTGCCTCTATACTCTTTTACGCCATTCCTTAAAATTTCCCTATCCACATCTTACAATTCACAGAGAATCAAGTTTCCTGGACTCACTCACCAAGCAGGCTCACAACACACAATCTAATGACTCTATTTTCAGAGTGATGCAGTCCCAAAGATGAGCAGAGACAGCTAGCTGGGCAGCGAGAAAGTGGTTTTTCCCCCACCGGTGACCCTCTCCTCTTACTGCATTTTGGAGTGTGGATGACCGTGAGAACCTGGTAAGAGACTATGCACCTGCTCAGAGAAATGGCTTGTATCTGTTTTCAAGGTGTTGAGACCACCCGAGTGGAACCCATGTTAAACTCCCAAGCTAGGAGAAGATGCAGCCTGGTGTGGGCCACCCTCAACACCACCCTACCGGAGGATCCTAGAGAGGTTCTGTTCCCTGGCCTCATGGGAAAGCAGACCGCGAGCTTCCTGTCAGCCAGGGGTGTGTTAGGCTCCTTCCAGAAAAAAAAGTGCTCCCTCCGGGAACACCCGTCCCCTTGTGGAAGCGGTACACAGGCCCAGGTTCTCCGGAACTCGGAAACACAAAAGCTCTCCAGTTCTACCTCATTAAACACGGCCAAAAGTAACTTAGGTCTGGAAAATATTCAAAGTAGGTGTAACCAAACAGATATCCCAACTGTTTTTCCTTTAAATTTCATGAACAAATGGAGAAAAAAGCTACCCTGGGTAACGCAATCCCTTGGGGTGCCTTCCAAGAAAAATGAATTGCAAGGCACATACACAACCAACCAAAGAAATGGCCTGCATAGGAATATTACTTTGCTGGTAAAATTGGGTGGAAAAGTCTAGCAAAAAACCACTAACTTGGATTTGCGATAACATCCTAAAGCCTGTCTGGGGCTCTGGGTTCAACCCTCAGTAAAAGAAACAACAGGGAAACACCAGCTCCCTGTGAACCCAATCAAACTGCAACGCTCCCAGGTTCAGATGGCTTCTCTTCCTACAGCAGGGTTTTTGATCCTAGTATTTGTTCTCTCCTAACGTTCTCTCCTTGCTAAGGTATCTACAGACTTCCCCATCCCAACAGACTTCCTGATATTCCAGGCTGCAACCAATCTTCTGAGAGGCCAGAGGCTGGACTTTTGAGCCTGTCTTCTCCTTGACAGCCACAGGAAAGAATATTTCTTCTGTCTCTCTCACTTTACCCCAGGAGAAGGGTACACTTCTCCTGGTGTTCAAGGATGAGCTATGAAACAGAAGGGAGTTAGGGTACAAGGTGACTTCCTGGAGCGATATCTGAAGGTTTCTGATTGGTGAAATGAGAAGTGCTTCCATTCAAGAAGGAGCGGATAGCCTCTTCCAGGATCCATTCAAGGAGGAGCTGGAGAGATGACTCAGTGGTTAAGAGCACTGGCTGATCTTCCAAAGGTCCTGAGTTCAATTCCCAGCAACCACATGGTGGCTCACAACCAATCTGTAATGAGATCTGGCACCCCCCTCTGGCATGCAGGTATACATAGAGGCAGAATGTTGTATACATAATAAATAAATAAATCTTTTTTTTAAAGCGATGGCCTCCATCAGGGTCCATTCAAGAAGGAGAAGATGGCCTAACAATCAAGACGGCCCCTCCACAGACATTCTCAGCGCTGTGCTGGAGGCCCTGCCTCCTAGACATAGAGTTAACAGGGACCTGATGCTCCAGAAAGCCACAGAGGCTAGGCAAGGTGCAGCTGGGCAAGTTCACTGTAAGGTGCCCCCCAGGGGCCGCTGTGTAAAGCTCTGCTGCCAGGGTAGCCTGGCTGTGTAGTGGAGAGCCTAGGGTAAAATAGATGCCCGGGATGTGGGCCCCCTGCCAAGGAGAGGTGCAGGTTTTAAGCGTAGCCAAGAGAAAGGCCGTACGCTTTGGGCCGCAGGGCAGGACAGGTGGGACCACCCAAGCCTATTGTAGTCCTGGATACCAGACGGGAGTCTGTTTTCCCTGCTGGGTTTTATCTTGCCTGAGTGCAGTCTTTCCTTGCTCTGCCCGTTTTTGAAGTTGGTTTTTTGATGATGGTTTTTGAAGTTGGACTGAATGCACGTTGTGACGTGAGATGTCTGGGAGCCAATGGGAGCCACAGGTAGGAGGTTAGGGTTTGAATGTGGAATGCCCCACAGATCCATGTGTTCGAACAGTCTCCAGCTGGTGACACTGTCGTGGAAGGTGGAACAACCTTTAGGAGCTGAAGCATCATTAGATGATGTGGGTTGCTGGGGGGGGGGGGGGGGGCTGAGAGGTGTTTTATGGGTTATAGCCCTGATTTTGACCTAACCATTCTGTTTTTCCCCATGTGCCTCCAAATAAACAAACAGCTTGACTTCCTTGCCGCCACAGTCACAGGCCACTCCCCCCACAATGCATCCTTGCCCTGGTATACTGTACGAGGTCCCCAAACGGAAAGCTCAAACAAACCCTTCCTCCCTCTGGCTGCTTTGCATAGGGCATTTTGTCACAGTGAGAAGTAGTCAATACACCAGAATGCACGAGGCCCCGAATTCAAGCAGTTCCCAAAGGGAGTGGCACTATGAGGAGGTGTGGCCTTGTTGAAGGAAGTGTGGAGGTGGGCTTTGAGGTCTGGTATATGTTCAAGGCACACCCAGTGCTTCAGTTCACTTCCTGTTGCCTGCTGATCAAGATGTAGGAATCCCAGTACTCAGGAGGCAGAGGCAGGCAGACCTCTGTGAATTTGAAGACAGTCTGGTCTACAGAGGGAGCTTCAGAACAGTTAGTTTCAAGACAGAAACCCTGTCTCGAAAAACAAAACAACAACAACAACAACAAAAAAGATGTAGGAATCTCAGCTCCTTCTTCTGCCTGCATACTGCTACGCTCCCCACCATAATGGTAATGGACTGAACCTCTGAGACTGTAAGCCACCACCTCAATTAAATGTTTTCCTTTATAAGAGTTGCTGTGATCATGGAGTCTCTTCACAGCAATAGAAACCCTAAGACACTCTAGTATAATAAACAGATAAATAAGTTAGTATCACCATTTTTTCTTCCATGCATTTAGTGGGAAATGTGCTTCCGATGTATCACATGACATTAGATAATAAACACTTTAAGAGATCAGTCTGGAGATAGCAATTTTGCCCATGCACAAAAGGCTGAGGAGTAAAAGCTTTGAGCTTATTATATTAGATTTAATAGTGGGAACAGCAGTAACACCATAGTCAAGAAATCACAATAAAAATAGAAATAAAACCCCAGGGCTAAATAATAAAAGCTTGAGGCTTTGATGGGCATCGGCCATTGCCATGAAAAAAGCAGCCATAGGTAACAAATGAGGTAGGATCTGGTCTAAGAAGCTAACACGTGAAGCTCTCCTGAAGGGAGCATAGTTCTCCCATAGAGCACAGCTCTGAGAGATGCAGATACGCCATTGCAGCTGATGGCCATCGCTGCTCTTCCATGCGGTGCCTCAGTTACTCCTCAGGCTGCTACTCTTTCCTCAGTTTTCTCAATCCTATTCCTAGAACGCTTTGCTGTTTACCATTACCGCCCAAATACTCGGTTTCCTATCCTATGCTTCTGCCTCCTAGGGACCTAGTGGCTAGGGGATTATGCACCAGGGTTTGCCTTGAGAAGTTCATTTGTTCTTCGGAACAGAAGAGAATCAGGCCCAGCTGTAACAACTAGTCAGGGTATCTGAATAAATACTCCAGCAAAGCACAAAGCTCAACTACTAAGATGGTGCTAAGAGCCAAGTTATATCTGTGAGCTCAGATGTTAAATCCCAAAGGACCCGAGTGCTGCAGCATGTGACTGTATTTGGAGACAGGGCCTCTCAAGGAGTGCTTACCTCCAAATGAGGTTATGTGTGACAGTAATATGAAGCCATTTGCTTATCCTGGTGGATCAAGAAGCAGAGGCCAGGATGTAACTGAGGCTGGCTGTAATATGAAAGACCCACTTCACAGTGACGAACCTCCTTCGCCAAGGCTCTACTCCATAACGGTTCTAGAACCACCCCAAAAAAGTACCACCAGATGGGAACCAAGTGTTGCAGCACACGAGCCTGTGGGAGCATTACACATTCAAACCACAGCACATGGCAAGTGCTCTACCTTTTTCTGTGTTTTTAAATGTCGAAGCAAGGCCATAGCTCAGGCTGGCCTTGAAGATGCTGGGTAGTTCAGGAGGACCTGGAACTGTCTCAGTCTCTGGAGTAGCTAAGTGTGAAGGCCTAAGCCTAACTGTCTGGCTAAAGCTGATAATTTTGAGGTGAGCAAACCCTCATGCTACTGATGATGTCACCTGAGTAAGTGGAACAGAGAGACATAGCAGGAAGCCTTGTTCACCAGGCCTGAGGGATAGAATACTGGCTCGGAGATGGACTGGTTCCATGTCCAGAAGAGGTGAATGCATACTTGTCTGCAGCTCTCATAAGAATGGTGTCCTCCTAACAGGAAATTGGGACATCTAGGGGGCACACGGGTCTGTACACCAGGTGTGGAGGTGGGAAGAGGGCACCCGACCCACACCCAGGAGAGTGACCTAGGAGCAATCTAAGTCAGCCAACACCTTGATCCCAGACTTCTAGCTTACAGGATTTGAGAAGATAAATGTGCATTGTCTAAGCTGGTGTTTTGTTGTGGCCTCAGGAACTAGCACGGATGGGGCGGGTTGGGCAGCAAGGAAGTCGGTATTTGGGGCTAGAAGTAGAATGGCATGGTAAGCGGGCAGATGCCAGCATGAGGGAAGGCCGGACAGACCAGACGTGGGTGGCTTAGTCAGGAAGCAAGGATGGTGGAGAGACCACCTAGGGACTGATCCACAGGGAAGATGGCAATGACGTCACACATGGCAGAAGACTCAGAGCAAAGAGCAATTTGCCTTCAGAAAGTCTTATGGGTGCAGGCAGCAGGGCTCTTTTTTGATGTCTCTTCATCTATCTTGGGCTTCACTTCCTCACAGGCACCTTCAACACATTTGCATGGTACAGGAAACTGAATAAGAGGGATCCAAGTGTGTCGACTTTCAAGTTATTTTGAATTGCTTATAAATCTTACACCATGTTTTTATAGTAAGGCTATCTCAGATTCCTTGAAAGACTCTTCCTATGCTGTTAAAATGGCCATTAGTTACTCTCTGCATTTCTGCAGAACCATCCTGCCCATGGTTTTCATCTTCCAGATCCTGACTTCAGGGTTCATTCCATGCTTCTGTAGCTTTGCTCCTAAATTACTTCTAATTTTAGAATGGCATTTGAAAGCTTGAGTTCCAAGGGTTGAAGAGATGGCCCGGGGTTAAGGGTGCCTGCTGCTCTATGGTGAGAAGCAGAGCATGGATCCCAGCACATACCACTGCACAGCTCACAAATGTCTGTAATACCAGTGCCAGAGGATCCTGCGTGTCTTCTGGGGGCATACCCGCTCACACAGACACATACACACACGTGTAAATTAACAATAAATCTTATTTTACAAGGAAAAAAAGTTCTTTAGAAAACAACTCATCAATAGTGAAGAAATATTTAGTACGAAGAGAGCTATTTCCTAAGAGAAGAAGCACAAGAGCCAAATGGGAGGAGGCCAGACGGTCGGCTCCTTTAACTCTGGCATACCACAGCCCCAGAATTACTTCAAACCAGTTTTTAAATAGAGCCAACAGTTAAATTAGTTTAACAATTTCTCCCATCCAAAAGGCAATGTCAAAACTTCAAAGACCAAGGATAGATATTTGGTTATCTATCCCTACAAAACTGAGACAACCTGAAAGAGAATAGCCATCTTTGCTTCTGGAGGGTGCTCCCATGTCCCATGTCATGGTCTTCATGGGACAGCCACCTGGGCATCAGGAGAGCAGCTTCCCTCAGCCAGCCCCTGAGCCTAGGTTCTTACTTGCCACGCTCTTTAACACGGATGTAGTTTTCAGTATGTCAAACAAAATCAGAAGTTGGATCTCACTGCCACAAAACCAGTTTTTATTTCTCTCCCCGTGGAACTCTGCTGTGAGCCTGCATTCTCAACAGGAAGATTCTAGAATGTGCAATCCATCACTTGCTATCATAGAAACTATGGCTTGAAAAGTTTAAAGTTAAACAAAACAAAACAAATCCCTTCTTACCTGTAAAATGAGGAATAATCTTTGACTTAAAAGTGTATTTTAGGTTTAAAAGGTTCTATTTCTAAAGATGACACAGAGCATGCCCTCAAATTGTCCTTCCTTCCTTTCTTCCTTCATTCCTCAGTTATGGTCCTGAGATAGAGTAATGACAGTTGAACACCAGGCCTTCCTCCCGCTGTAGGACACAGGGAATCTGCTACTCGGTGTAGGAATCTCCATTATCTGAACAGAGCTAGATAGATCCACGGATCCATCATGACTTTCATATGAACTTCTCCAGAAATCAACACGTGCCTCACCTTCCTGCCCTTTAATTGTAAGGCTGTATCACTGCAGCTAATTATTTTTAACTCTGGCACCTTCTGAAGATTGTTTCTTCACATATTAGTGAACTCCATCAAAGCAAGGCTGCCTTTCCCATCCCACTTTAATTATATTCCAATTCTGCACTACCGGGTTTTGAATAGCTGATATAAATAAGAAATAAGGTTACGAGGTTTCACATTCAAAATGAAAGTTTTAAACATGGCTTACACAAAGGATCTATAAACACCTATTTCTAGTAAGCTGAAGAGTAACAGAAAACACCAACTATGTAAAATGCAAGAACACACCATCCAAGGACCAGAGCCCCTGAAGTCAAGGGGGTCTGCACCATCCAGTGAGTAAATGACACAGTCCCGTCCCCAACATAGACAAGCATACGCAACATCCGCGTGCATCCTACGCACACACCTTTAAATGGGACCAAGGCTAGAAAAATTTCGCACCCCCACCCCCCGCCACTGTCCCCTGCAAAGGAACTTTGTGATGGAGGTGCTGCTCTGCTCATTCACGCTGCTCTTCCGGTTCCTATTTGTATAATGATCGGTCCAAAACCTGTGAATTGTTTCCTGTTTATAAAATGATTCAGCACCAAGAGGAGGCAGAGGAGACGGTTATTCAGGGTGGTCACTCAGCCCTCTCGCCCCCACCCTCCCCAGCAGACATCCCATCACAAAGAGGCTGACTCACGGTCACTGCCGCCTGGCAGATTGTTTGTGGATTGTTATGATGAATACTGGCTCACGAATCTGAATGGAGCTCTCTGTGCCGTTTCCTCGCAGCCCAAAAGGATACCAGCGGCTGTGCCAGATGTCCTCAGCCTTCTTTTCTGAAGTGGCTCTGGTTTGCCACTGGGAGGAAACGTGACTTAGGCATTGAGGTGCCCTAGTCAAGTGTGTACCCCGAGTCTGCGCTCCCCAGT